CAGAAGTGGCCGTGGTTCAAATCAATCTGTGAGGCAAGGACTGTGAAAGGAAAGAAGTGCAACACCAACGAAAGGGGTACACTGACCGGCGCTCAAACTGGGCACTGCAGCGGCCTTCCTACCCACAACACTGTCAATTTGGTTGCTGTTAACACCTCCGACTATGAAATGGGCTATCGATACTGCGAGAAGCTCCCTACCGTGCCGGAGGGAAAGTTCAACGACCACAGCATTGTGAGGATTCAACGGCCAAGACGAGCAGCCTTCATCGACTACCGAAAGAATGATTTGGGCATCGCCTCCAAGGACTCCGTAGTATACAAGAAATACCCCAAGTTCAAGAGCTGCCCACGGTCTGAAGTGGGGCCTAAGCGCGTGCCTGACTCGTTCTACTACAATACGTACAACCGGCCCATGCCATGGGGCTTCGTGGCGGTTATTAAAATGGGGAAACTGCACATCCATGACCTTCCAGGTTGGCCTTAATGTCATGCTCTGCATGTTTAGGTGTGTATCAGATTTGTGTATATTTAAATCCTCGCATAATCGCCAAAATCATAGTGAACCGAACTTGTGTCGAACCTGCTAACCCCACCACAAGATCAGAAGTGGAGTTCACGATTTGAGACTGCGTTTTCCCACCTGAGCAAATCTCCCTGCGGGTCGATTCGAAGTACAGATATCACCTGCGCTGCGGATGCAGGCAAAGATTACACCTTCGACATCTCACCTATTTTCGGTTGTGCGACTTTATACGATTGTAGAGCACCGGAAAACACGAGAGAATGTTTTGTGCCTCTCACGCTTGTGCACGTCAATTCAATGCGGATCAAGGCCAACCAGGAAGGTCATGGATGTGCAGCTTCCCCATTCTAATGTTCGCCATGAAGCCCCATGGCATGGGCCGGTTGTACGAATTGTAGTAGAACGAGTCAGGGACACGTTTAGGTCCCACTTCAGACCGTGGGCAGCTCTTGAACTTGGGGTATTTCTTGTATATTACGGAGTCCTTGGAGGCGATGCCCAAATCATTCTTTCGGTAGTCGATGAAGGCTGCTCGTCTTGGCCGTTGAATCCTCACAATGCTGTGGTCGTTGAACTTCCCAGTCAGCACGGTTGGAAGCCTCTCGCAGTATCTGTAGCCCATTTCATAGTCGGAGGTGTTAACAGCAACCAAATTGACGGTGTTGTGGGTGGGAAGGCCGCTGCAGTGCCCAGTTTGAGCGCCGGTCAGTGTACCCCTTTCGTCGGTGTTGCATTTCATCCCATTCACAGTCCTTGCCTGACAGATTGACTTGAACCATGGCCACTTCTGCTCATCCAGGGATAGAATGGACGGCGAGAAGCAGAGGGAGGAGTGGAAAAGAGGGCGAGTGGGATACTAATAAGGCTGAAATGGTTGTTTCATCTGCCAGTCACCATACAAGATGGACAGGGCAAGAAACACAGAGGTACCGCAACTGCTACTGCAAGCAGATATTAGAAAACGCGGGTTGACAACGTCAGCACAGGGCTGTGCACTCACCTGGTTGATGACAGGCGAGTTGTAGTAGTTAATCCGCATCTCCTCCCAGTAAGTCCCCGGCTTCCTGGCGCAGTTGTTGATAGTGGGCGTGTAACACTGGCACCACCCCGGCATGCCTATCGTGCCCTTCAAAATCACATCCTCAATCACATTCCTGGGACGGGAAAACATACAGATCCGCCGGAAAAATATCGTGAGCCCTGAGAGGTTGTTTCATGAGCGTGTTTCTCGGCGCTTCTAGCAGTCGCAAGATAAGACGAAGCATGGTACACGGGAACGAAGCAATTCGCGCAGTTCATGGCGGCTTACCAGTGGCCGTTGTTGACTTTCATGCCGTCGTAAGTGTTGATGCACGCGCCACCGCGGATAATCACCCCCGAAGTGGCGTAGTCGAGATAATAGCAGTGGTCGCCATTGAAGATGTAGTTACACTCCGCGATGTTCCCTGTGACGAGAAGCCAGGAACGAGAGCAGCGAGAGAAGAGACCCCTGAGGAACGAGAGAAGAGGCACAGCCCCACTAACAGCGGTGCAACTGCTGTGCTACGCACAACACAAACCTTAGCCACAACACAAACCTTAGCCAGCGGTGCAAATATTGTGAGCTAACCCAAACCTTAGCCACACCACACGGAAGCGTATCTATCTCACCTGGGTTGAAAAAGTGCGTGCAGTAGTAGATCCCAGCCGCGTCGTGATCGCCCGACATGTTCCGCCCGGACGCGACGATCAGGTTGTTGCTGAGAGTCGTCAGCATGCAATCCCCCTGGTTGTACACGTCAGCTCCGCACCGAATCCCCGCGAATAAAAAGTCGTGGATGTAATTGTTCCTCGCTATAACCCCCACCGCGCCGTTTTGAAGCACTATCGGCTGGTCTACACCGTACAACTCGTTATTGGTCAGCGACACCCAGGATTTCAGCAGCGCAGGGCCGTAACCTGAAAACGCTACGCGAATAACTCCTGGCGACTTGGCGAAAAGCGTTAACCCGGTACCCTTCATACTGTCTACACGCGTAGCCATGGCACGAAACACGTCGATCCGACCCCAGAAGCTCCCCTTCGCGACCTGAACGTTATGGGACCGCCAGATATGGATCGTAGGACACGTGTTGCCTCTGCCTATATCGGTGTCCAATAGCAACTCGCATTCACCCGACCGCGCTGTCACGCCGAGCCAAAAGTCCACCTTCAGGATAACCACGTTGCTGGTGTTCCACACGCGAATCACCGGCTCCTTGTCTCCCATTAGAGACACCTTGAAGTTTCGCTTCCCCTGGGCTGACCGGAAAATTGTGCAGCGGTAGGCGCCGGAGAAAACGAGGCCCTTGGGAAGGACAAGGTCACGGGTAACCTCGAGAATGACAGTGACGGAATTGGGGTACTGTAGCCGCTTGTCGATGTCGGACGGGCTTGAAACGGGGATAACTTTTGCTTCCGAGAGCGGGGTGCAAGGTCCCTTCTGCTTCTTCTCTTCTGTCAAATGAAGGGGTCAGTGGAACGGAAGGGGACCGCCGTGAGGAGGGAGCCGGACAGAGTGAGAGAGAGAGAGAAAGGAGAAAATACTATATGACCGGGGAAGGGAAAAGGAGGGCCACACAAAGAACGAAGGAACGAGGCGGGAGAGACGGGTAGTAAATGCGTGTAGGACTACATTCCACGTACGCAGTCGGCGACGCCGTCCGAAAGGGGTTTCCACGTCATCGAGCGAGTGGTCGGAGGAATCGATCCCAGGTGTCAGCGAGTACGGCCCGCCGTCCCCGTGGTATTTCGTGAATGACGCGAGGTCAACGTTCGCGTCGGCGGGATTTCCGCTCAGGTGGCGTCGGTACTGAAGCCATAGCGACGGCCGCTTCGCCGCCGATCGCGGCGGATGATGCGCTGCTTGCCAGCTTCGTAGGAAGAGCCAGAAGAGATTCGTCCGAGGAGGAGAGGGCGGAGGAGGTTCCTGACTCAGAGAAGACGCTGGTGATACCGACGACGCGGCGTGGAGGTGGAGGAGGACGACAAGCATAAGAACACTCATCCTAGTTGTTGCAACCATGGCTGAGTCGCGGCATCCTAGTCTGGCCATCACCTGGACTCGACGGCTCGACTCGACAGCCAGAGTCCGTTCGTGGCGAGAGGGCTCGCTGCAATCGAGCGGGCACCAAGCTTCGACTACGACGTCCCTGCCTAACCAGGTGCTTGATTGGGGTGGATGAGGAGCGTCCGAGGTGAATCGCGGAAGATTTCTGACGCGTTAGGAATTTTGCTTCTTTGCGTCGTAGGAAACCTGAGAGCAGTTGAGGACAATCTTCGAGACATAGATGGAAACATCATTGGTACGGTTGACGGAAGCCTTGGGGCTTGGTTTGGTTTCGAGTCATGATTCATGAATGTGTACCCGAACCGACGTCCACAAGCGTCAGAGGCACAAAACATTATCTCGTGTTTTCTGGTGCTCTACAATCGTACGAGTCGCACAAGAGAAAATATGGATTGTTGTGTGTTTGACAAGTTTGGTGATAATCGTGTCAAATGCAAGTGCGCGGAGATTCCTCTCGCCAAACACAGAAATTCAGGTAAAAGTTCAAGTTACGTTATCTGCGATTCGGTCTAGATACCTGCTCCCGGTTCCCCTGAGGTGTGAATTCCGCGCAGGACGCTCAAGATGGAAATCGAGTTCCGAAACCACCTGCGATTCGTTCGTCAGCACACTCAGACGAGGTTTTGGCTGCTGCGAAGATTGGGCCGCGATAGGTGGGTGTCCGTCTCTCCTGCAATCAACCCCACGCCTAGCTTCGCCTGTCCCGTCGCAGCTAACCTATGCAATCGCGAATTTCGCTCAGCTAATCAAATTTGTCGTGCGTCTCCCTCCACCTTCCCTCGCATTCGCATTCTCGCCTCCAATTCGCCTCCCCTCGTGAACTGCGGCATCAGCGGGACGTGTGTTCGACCTACCCCACGCATTCTCCACCTTTCACACATCCTCACAAATGCAATCTCCCCTGACTCACAAGCAGCGGTTGTGCAGGTAGGCAGGCACTAGTCCCAAAGACTACAAGAGCGCAGTCACACCTTTATGCCATCGAGTCACACAACCTACCTGTCGAGCTCGACAAGGTGTCTAGACTTGACCAGCAAATATTCCACAGTATTATAGTTCAAGCTTTATGTTTCAGGCAAGCAGAGCTGCATGAGACACAATATCTACGTTACTTATTCTACTTTAAAGATCGCACGCATAACAGGCCGTTCCATTCATAAGTCAACGCCGACGTGCAACTTCCCATCTTGCGGAGCACTCATTGCGCCAGTAGCCCCTTGACTCTCGTCGTTGGCTCGGAAGCACCTCGTTGGGCCTCCTTAGCACGCCATTCTGACATGGTAGCTTTATGATTACGTAGCGCCTCACGCCGCCACTGGGAGCAGCTGAATCAGCTCTTTCCGGAGAAGTGTTACTACGCAGCGGCGAACAGGTTCTAGGCAACACTATGGTTACGATGGGGCAAAAGCACTGCTTCCTTCTCGCAGCGTTCCTTCTCCTCGTCCTCGCCACCCTCCCAGATTCAGCTTCAGGATCTGGTGCGGTGCAATTCCCCCCTCCCTCTCCCTTGTATCGAATCCTCTCGCTCCGTCACCGTTTCCCTACCCTCCGCAACTCGCCGTGCGTCGTCCCGTCCGCGTTTCTGCCACCCGTACCCCCTCTTTTTTTCCCAACCCCCCCCTCTCTCCCCTTCGTCCCGTCTGCCATTCTTCTCTTCCCCCTTTCTTCCCTCTCCCTTTATCCTGGTGTCTCCGCCTCGACGTCTCTTTGTTTCCACTCTCCACCCCTCCCCTCTCCGCTTCTTCCGTTTCCTCCTCTCCCCCTTCCCCCTCTCCATCTTTCCCCTCGCCCTCTTCCCCCTTTTCCCCCTCTCCCCCTCTCCCCCACTCCCCAGGAAGCCTCCAGCAGCCCAACTTTCTAAAGCGCTTCGTGACGACGTGGCGGCAGTGGCACCGCGCGGTGATCTCCCGCTCGTCCGCGTCAACATTGCTGCAGCACCGGCGCTACCTCAGCGCCGACCCGGCGGAGGCTGCTGACGCGGCGCGCGTGCTGCGCCGACGTGGCGGGTGGTGGCACGACGCGGACGGCCAGGCGTACGTTTCAACTTCTGGAGACGAGGCGATACAGGAGGTGACTGGTGACGTGGCAGAAGGCGTCGTTTCGCGGAGACGGAGAAAGCGTGAGTGCCACTCGGCCTGCTTTCATTCGCTTCTTTATTGTTCTCCCGCTCATTCGTTCCCCTTCCCCCTTCCCTGTAATTCCTTCTCTCTTCGCGTTTTTTTCTCTTCCCGTTTCCCTCCCTCCCCTTCCCGCGAATCCGTTTCACTTCTTGTTTTCCCACCCTCCCTCCTCTTTCCGTTCGGGTACCAGATTCTCTCCTCCCCCTTCCTGCTCTTCCTTTCTCCGTGCTTCCCTCCCATCACCTCCTCCCCCCCTTCCTCCCCCTTCTCCTCACTCACCTCTTCCCTCACTGCAGTGGCGGAAGGGGATGCGGCGGGCCCGTGCACTCCCCTCGCTGACGCCAAACTCATTACAGTCACAACTGAAGAAGATATTGCTAAGCGGACACAGTACACCAACAAAGAAACCGTTATCCTGGAATTGGCTAACGACATTACTCTTTCCAAGGGACTCGTTTTCGACGCCGCGTATAGGTGCACCATCTTCCGGTCGGGCGCAGCTAAAGCGAACTACAAAATTGCTTATATGGGGGACAGGGAGCCACTGTTGCTTATAGCGAACACCAGCAACGTGATCATCCTTCACATTAATTTCTGGATGGGTGTAACAATGAGGTCCCCGGAGTGTACTGATTTCCTGTACACGGATCTTGGCTCGGGTAACACGTGTCCTACAATAATGCTGTGGCGCGTGCACAACACGCAGGTCGCCAAGGGCTCTTTCTACGGGCGTATTGATGTCCTCCGAGCCATGTCGTCGCGAGTTGACAGCATGAAGGGTACCGGGTTACCACTGTTCGTCAAGTCCCCTGGCGTCATTCGAGTGTCCTTTTCGGGGTATGGGCCAGCTCTCCTCAAGTCATGGGTCGCCATCACGAACAATGAAGTGTATGGTAAGTGGTTACCACTTGCTGGGTTACAGGGGCGGAAAGTTATGTCATGCCTTACAAATTGAGTGGCCTATCTCTTTCGTCACATGGTTATCACTCACCTAGTAACTGATGGGTTGTGTCCAGCCTTCTGGAATCAGTTATCCAACTTCTCCCTCCATTCCGTTCTCGCCTCACAGCACATGTCCCCTTCTCCCCTCTCACTCCCTACTCCTGCCAGGCGTGGATCAGCCAATCATTATTCTAAACGGCGCAGTCGGGGTGACGGTCAGACGAAATTACATCCACGACTTTTTATTCGCGGGGATTCGGTGCGGAGCTGACGTGCACAATCAGGGGGATTGCATGCTGACGACAATCAGCAACAACCTGATTGTCGCGTCTGGACGTAACATGTCGGGCGACCAAGACGCGGCTGGGATATATTACTGTACACATTTCTTCAATCCCGGGAATGTTGCTGAGTGCAACTATATTTTCAACGGCGACCATTGTTACTATTTGGATTACGTTTCGTCAGGAATCAAGATTCGCGGAGGAGCGTGTGTGAACACGTTTGATGGAATGAAGGTCAACAATGGGAAATGGTAAGCGGCAGACATTCTTGTGCGTTGTCTTTGTTTGCGTTAATGTTACGTCACCCTCCTGTGGTGTGTACTCCCAACTAACGCCACGGCGTTTTCAGAAACTCGTTGCTTTAACGTGGTCTCCGGCTCTGCGATTGTGATTGCAGGAACGTTATCACAGACGTGATAATGAAGGGGACGCAGAATACACCTGGTTGGGTTGCGTGCTTCACGCCCACGAGCAACAACTGTCTCACACACTCTGGGAAGTACTGGGAGGAAATGCGGCTAAAATACTACAATTCACCCGCGATATTGAAGGTGTGTTTCATCATTACTCCCTGCGTTGATAACCTCCCTGAGCCCTTCCCATTGTCACTCCATCCCGTCTGGTCCAAGGTCTCCCTTCCCACCTGCTATCAGCTATTGTTCTTCCGCAATCCTCTCCCCTCCTTCCCCATTTACCTTGCTCTCCCGATTCCCGTGTGACCCTCATTACAGGAGTACCCATGGTTTCCTACTGTGTGCAAGGAAAGGGCAATTAACGGGTATCTATGCAACATTGGGAGGGCAGGAACCATGTCGGGACGACAGACCGGCTACTGTAGCGGTCTGCCCACAAACAATACCATTCAGCTGATCACAGTGCAGACTTCGGACCATGAGCTTGACTTCAGATACTGCGAGCGGCTGCCTACAGTGGAAAGCGGGAAACTCAACACTTACTTAAAAGTCAACATCTCCAGGCCTGCCAGGGCTAAATTTGCCCATTACTGGCGGAACGACTTCGGGATTACTTCCAAGGAGTCGGTCATTTACAAAAAGTTCCCCAATTTCAAAAGCTGCCCGAGGAGCAAGATCGGGCCGAAGAGAGTTCCGGATACGTTCTACTATGGCTGGTACAACCGGCCAATGCCGTTTGGATTCATGAGTATCATGCGGATGGGGAAGCTCCACATTCACGACTCGCCAGGCTGGCCCTAGTGCTTGTTCTACCACCTGTACACTGTATATTTTGCCTTGATATTTCCATGATCCATCCAGAGTGTGGATTCCAAACATGGGTTGTGCAAATTACCACATCGCGTCTCTACCATTCAAGCTGTTGGGCTGAAAAAATAGCCCTTAGGATCTTTGCAGGGGTGAACTCTGGGTAGGACTGATGTAATAGCGGAAGCTATTAATGAAGTAGTTGAACCACCTTGCGCTAGTATGTGAGGGCGAAGTAGATTAATTAAAACAGAGAGATACAAGATTATATATAAGAGTACAAGGAATATGAAGGGGTACAGTTATAACTGTTTTACTGTTGCTGTTGCGGTTCGATACAGTGACGACTCGGGCAACTGCTCTGTAGCGAGTCAGTTGTGTGTCCTTGCTGTCGCGCTGTACTGTGTCAGGTCAAAGGTCGCTGACCTTTGGCTTTCGCGTAACCTCCAACAGTTGCTTTCAACCTCCGAGGGTTGACTCGCCGGTGCTTCGATATGCTTCGCTTCGTTTGTGCCTTAGTGTTTCGACACGACAGAGGCGCTTAAGATCGATTGTTTCCAACACTCCCCTTCGCTTCTGGAGTGTCGCTGCTGGTGACGTGGCTCTGTCCAGTCAGCAGCATGCAGTACTCGAACTTCTGCTTTCCGAGCTTCTTGGTCAAGTAGTCAGCTGCCATCTCGGACGTGGGGCAGTATGACAGCTCGAGCCTTCCTTTCTCGATCTCGTCCTTCACGAAGAAATATCGCAGGGCGATGTGTTTCGTCCTGTTCGCGAAGCCGTTCTTGTTGGCGATGCGAATTGCCGACTGGTTGTCGCAGAACAGAGTGAAGCTGGGTAACTGAGCCAGCTTCGCTTCTTCCAGCAGTTCGCGAAGGTAAAGTCCTTCCTTGGTGGCTGAATAAAGTGCAATATATTCTGCTTCAGCTGACGAGAGGGCGATTAATTCCTGCTTGCTCGACTGCCATGAGATAGGTCCGATAGGTTCGAGGCGGTAGATGTAACCGGTGCGGGAGCGCCTGTTGTCGGAGTCGCCAGCGTGATCGGCGTCGACGTAGCCGATTAACTTAGGCGGTGTAGTTGCGTTCTTGTAGTAAGTTAGGCCGATCGTCGGGGTGCTGACGAGGTAGTGAAGAGCGCGGTCGAGTTCTGCTAGATGTTCCGCTTCAGGCCTCTTGAGGTAGGTGGCGAGCTGACTTGCAGAATACGATAGGTCCGGGCGGCAGGTGACAGCTGCGAAAAGGAGGCATCCCAGTTTCCTCTGGTAGTCGCGTATGCCGGCGGGCTTAAGTAGAGCGGAGCTTCCCTTGCTGCTTCCTGTCGTGTAGCGGTACGGTGTGGAGATGGCGGTCGGTGTGAGTGCGAAGCGCTTGGCGATGGTGTCTGCGTATTTCGCGGCACTGAGGTGGATCACGTCTTCCTCTTCTCGGATGTTGAGACCGAGGTACTGTGTGACGGTAGATGAGACCGTGAGCGTGAGGTCCTTCTGTAGCTCCCCTTCGAACCAGGTTGTGATGCCGTCGGTCGAGCCGATGTAAAGTAGATCGTCTACGTAGACGATTAACAGGATGTAGTCGGTGTTCTTCGTGAGCCGGTACATGCCCTGATCATGCGGTAGTTGTTTGAAGCCGATGCGAATGAGGCGAGCGTGCAGGTATTGTTGCCATAGCCGCGGAGCTTGCTTGATGCCGTAGAGCGACTTTAGCAGTTGACAGACTTGATTGGGCTCACTGTTGGAGCCGTGTGGCAATTCGACGAAGATTTCTGCGTCAACAGGTGCGTAGAGGAATGCGTTCGCGACGTCGATTTGTCGCAGCTTCTTCTTCTTCATGGCGGCGATCGCGAGGAGGATTCGGAGTGAAGTGTGTCGACTGACCGGAGCGAATGTTTCGGTGAAGTCGCGTCCGTGTTCTTGGTCGAAGCCGCGTACGACCCAGCGAGCTTTAAACTTGTCGATGGTGCCGTCAGCCTTTGTCTTCACACGGAAGACCCATTTCCCGGTGAGTACTGTTTTGTTACGTGCTACGCCGATAGGGACGACCTTCCAGGTGTTGCGTTCCTCCAGCGCCTTTAGCTCCCTGTCCATGGCTTCGCGCCATTTTTACTTATATTCCCCCCCCAGAGCCTGTTGAACTGTCGCAGGCTCTTTAGGAATGGCTGCGCCGTGAACTGCGGTGACAAGGCCAAGGATTTGGAGTCCACTCTGTGTGTAGCGGGGGAGTGAAGTGTCCTCGGGATAAACTGCTTCGTCTCCCGCTTCTGGATCAGGTGCGAAATTAGGTCCTACGCGTTCTGCTTTGTCGGTGTTGACTTGTGCAGGTGTAACGTAACCGTTGTCAGCGAAATGGTAATAGGCTTCGGCGTTGATGCTTTCGCGTGGGTTTTCGTCGTCCATTGGCACGTCGACGGAGCAGTAGGGGAGGGGTCCGGCTTCTTCCGAGGCTCCTTCCACGTTCTGCTCGTCCCAGTCAGCTTCGTCGTCTGCCGAGGCGAAGGCTCGTGTGCCTTGAAAACCAGCGGAGCGATCGGGGTTTTCTTCTTGCAAGTTGGCAAGGTAATACCGGAGGGTGATGTTTTCATAGAAAATGACGTCACGTGCTGCCACTGTCCCTTTTGTCTCGACGTCGGAAATTTTCCATGCGTTGTAATGCTTTTCGATGCCCAGGTGTAGCCCCCACTGTGCGCGTTGAGAGAATCGGCCGGCTCGTGCAGATGGGGGCCGGTACTGTACCATGCAGCCGAAGACTCTTAACATTTTTGTGCTGCCCTGCTTTCCTGTCCACAGCAGGTGCGGTGATGCGTTGTTCGGGAGCGATGATGACGAGAGCAAGTTGTGCAGCATGACGGCGTGGTCCATTGCTTCGGGCCACTGGTGGTTGGGCAGGTGCATGCCACGTAGCAGCTTGCGCATGGTGTTCTGGAGGGTCCTGTTCACCCTCTCTGCTACTCCTTGCTGTTGATGGGCGTAGGGAAGGGAGATGAGCCGCTTGATTCCTCTTTCAGCCAAGTACTGCTTGAACCTTTGTGAGGTGTATTCTCCTCCCCCGTCTGACTGGAAGCTCTTCAGTTTGACGCCCGATTCTCGCTCTGCTACTGGGAGCCATGCGACGAAGGCTTCGAAGGCCATGTCTTTGCTCGGAAGGTTTAAATGCCAGACGTATCGTGTGGCGGCGTCGATGAAGGTGATGGTGTAGTTATACGCGTTTTGTCCAGGCTCGCGGTTGTACAAGATGTCGCTGTACACCTTCTCGAGTGGCGCGTAAGCTGGTGCGCTTGGGTTGTGGTGAGACGCGAACGGTTGATGCGGTAAGTCAGCTTCGGGACAGGTGAAGCATGTTCCTCGAGCTCGCTGAAGTTCTCTGCCGTCAGTTAGGAGTAGAGAGTCTTTATCAAGCACGCCTGCTCTTATCGTGTTGTTTAACACCGTGTTGCTTGGGTGTCCCATTCTTGCGTACCAGGTTCCTTCGGTTGCACGATGTCCGGGTGAGCGCCGATACATATCGGAATTGGAGTAGAAGCTGGCGGTGAAGTTGGCGCTTCGATGAACTTCTCGTGGTGCTGGGTGTAGTTGTTGCGTGGGTGACGGTGGTGTGTCGTCGACGAGGAGTGGTGCCGTTGAAGGACCAGCGACTGGTGTTAATGTTCCTGCTGCTGCCGTTGATGTCTCTGCTGCTGCCGATGTGGTTCCTGCTGCTGTCGATGTTGTCTCTGCTGCTGCCGATGTTGTCACTGCTGCTGCCGATGTTGTCTCTGCTGCTGCCGATGTTGTCTCTGCTGCTGCCGATGTTGTCTCTGCTACTGCCGAGTGTTGAATTGTTGCTAACGCCCTTGTTCTTTCTGCGTCAGGGATGGTGTGTGAATGCCAGAAGCCGCCGGAGCTGAAGTCTGGATCAAGATCTGGAGGGTGGGTCCAGGAAGTAAAGGTGACGATGCCGTCGCTGTCTGCTGTGCCGAGATCTGGAACAAAATCAAGAACGAAGACGTTATTTTTCAGGATCGCCTTTCCGATGTAGAGGCCGCCCTTCCCGTGGTACAGCTTGAACTCCTAAGTGGTGTTGTCTGCTTCAAGGTGAATACCTTTAGCCATCAGTTGGCTAACGCTGAGTAAGTTGTAGCCCAGGCCTTCTGCGATTAAGACCTTGGACATTTGTAGTATGACATTTGTCTCTCGTGACTGAAGTTGAACGACTCCTTGTCGTCGTGTGCGCAGGTTTTCGTTGTTGGCGACGGTGATGACTACTTCGCGTTGGAGTTGGTACTCTCGTTGCACGAAGCGTCCTGAAGAACACATGTGCTGTCCGCAGCAACTGTCCAAAAACCACGTGTCCTTCCCGGATGGCTCGCTTTGAGCGATGGCTGCGTATGTCGGGTTCGGCTGAAGTGAATCGCGGTGAGGTGTGGTGTCGTCGAGTTGTTCTTCCGGTGAGTAGTACGGTGGTGATTCCGTGATGCAGGAGTCGCTCAGTCTTGCCATGCAACTGACGATGGTCCTCGCTCCTTGTGCAGGTTGTCCTGTTGAGGTCGTTGAGGCTTGAATCTGGGTCGTGGAATTTGCTTGTGTTGAGGCGACTTGATTGCTTGAAGGTCGAAGCTGCCGCTGTGAAGGCGTTAACTGTTGTCGATTCGGGCAGTGCGTGCGTGGGTGCCCTGACGTCTTGCAGATGTGGCAGAACGGAGGTACGGGCTTCGGTTGTTGTTGTTTGTTGTTGTTGTAGCGTCGCTGAGTGTGAAATGCAATTTCCGGTGCTGATGTCTTCTTCTTGTGTCGTTCTTCTTGCAGGTCCATGTCTTGCTGCTCGGCGTGGATTTCGGCGCAGAGCGCTGCTTTGGAGATTCTTCCGTGGGCTCGGAGAATGGCCTTTGTGGCGCGCCATTGAGGACCGAGGCCGCCAATGATAACTGTCACGAAGGCGTCTTCAGATATCGACCCTCCGCATCGAAGAAGCTTGTCGCGCAACTCGCGGCATCGGCTGATATACGCCATTCCTTTCTCGCCTGGTTTCATTTCGACCGTTGTCAGTTGCGCCATTAACCGACTTTGATTTACGCTGTCTGTTGCTTGATACATGCTTTTCAAGTGGTTGTATGCGAGCTCCGCTGAGTTGACGTAACCCCGGTAAGACCGTATATTCTGCTGTTGAGTCGGGGTGATGTTTCTCAGTAGAATCGTGTACGCCATCATCGACTGATAGGTGTACTGCTGCTTCTCATACTGTATGCCGTTTGTTGGGTATGGCAGGGACCCGTCGAAGAAGCCAAGTATATGCGCGCCTTCCATCATTAACTCGAATTCAAACGACCAGGTGAAGAAATCATTTCCATCGAAAGGTCTTGACGTCTGCATCTTCAGAACGTGCGCGAACTGCGACTGAACTTGTAATGCGTCCAGTGGCGTTTCTTGTCCAGGTGAAGGCTGCGGGTGTGGCATAAAGCTAATGGACCCGCGCTCGTACGGAGCAAAGGTAGGCTGCTGCTGTTGATTTCCTCGTGCGTATGATGAGCCGTTGAGACTCATGGGAGTTGCTCCGTTGTTGTTGCTATTGTGTGACTGCGCAGGTGCCGATTGCTGGTGTTGCTCGTAGAAAGACATGAAGGAGAAGAACTTCTCCATCATGCTTGGGTCGAAGCCCGCGACTTGGTTTGCGGGAGTTTCGGTAGATGTTGCCCTTGGTCTTGTTGCCGTACCCTCCTCTGTCTGTAGGCCAGAGGCAGGAGGTGGAGTAGGAGTAGTACCAGGGGAGCCGTTGGAGGAGCTCCTTTCCTTTTGTGTTGCCATGTCTTCTGTTGTAGATAGCTTGATAGAAGTTGAGTTCCCCCTGTTTGCTCTCATACCATGTTGGGCTGAAAAAATAGCCCTTAGGATCTTTGCAGGGGTGAACTCTGGGTAGGACTGATGTAATAGCGGAAGCTTTTAATGAAGTAGTTGAACCACCTTGCGCTAGTATGTGAGGGCAAAGTAGATTAATTAAAACAGAGAGATACAAGATTATATAAAAGAGTACAAGGAATATGAAGGGGTACAGTTATAACTGTTTTACTGTTGCTGTTGCGGTTCGATACAGTGACGACTCGGGCAACTGCTCTGTAGCGAGTCAGTTGTGTGTCCTTGCTGTCGCGCTGTACTGTGTCAGGTCAAAGGTCGCTGACCTTTGGCTTTCGCGTAACCTCCAACAGTTGCTTTCAACCTCCGAGGGTTGACTCGCCGGTGCTTCGATATGCTTCGCTTCGTTTGTGCCTTAGTGTTTCGACACGACAGAGGCGCTTAAGATCGATTGTTTCCAACACAAGCAACCAGATTGAGATGCAGCACCAGGAAAGCATTGTAGGCAGGATTACCCACCTTTATTCACCAGTGTGAGACCATATCAGGTGCTCATCCGCCTACAGCATGTGTGGTTGTGTTGAGGGCTTTTCTCATCAGGGTGGGGGCATGGAAAGATGACCCACGTCTGCTCGAGCTTGCATATCAAGTCATGGCTCATGAAGGATGTTGTATAGGAATATTTGTAACATGTGTGGGAAGGAAAGAACATGCTGGTTTCTATGACACGCCTTATAAACAAGTGCACAGGGTAGATCCATTAGCTAAAGCTGAAGTCACAGACTGAAGTCACAGACTAAGGGAGAGGTCAGGGTCCCCCTTCACATTCTTCTCGCCTTTCACATCGCCACTGTCGCCGATCTTCCTATGTTTCGCCACTCGAGCCGCAACAACAAGCTCCGACGTCTCGCTAACGCTCGTGCCGTTAGTGTGCGCCAAGAGCTGCTTTGTTTTAACGTTTAGAGGGCCGTCCCAGTGCTTCCGCATGTGTCCCCCGAGCGCCTGGCCCGTGGAAAACTGCTTCCCGCATTTAGGACAAGTCTTGATCGGTTGTTGCCCGCCGCGCTTCCGCTTTTGCGGCTTTTCATCCTCCGCGGATCCGGCGGTGCACGCGCTCTTCTGCTCCACCTCGAGTTGCGCGTCGGGGGAGGCGTTTAGGTCTAAATCCACGAAATTGCGCTTGGGCGACGCGGACGCAGGAGCGGCATGGTTTTGCGAGCGTTGCGCGTCGGCGGAAACGGCGTTGTTGTCAGTGCTCTCTTCCGCAGCGCACGACGCGGAGGCGACGCGGAGCGTGAGCAGAGCGTTGGCGCCACAAGCTACCTCGGTATCGCTGTTCGCGTGTTTCCTAGAGCCCGCAGCAAAAGACAGCATTTCGCGACTCGCCGGGATGGTCTTGCTGTGAGAGCTGGTGGCGTGGCTGACGCTGGAGAGGCGCGGGCTGCACGCGTTGTTATCGCGCGACGGGGAATCAATAGCGGAAATCGCGAACGACTGCTGCTGCTGCTGCTGCTGCTGCTGCTGCTGCTGCTGCTTGATCTGAGAGAGGGCGTGGAACAACGGGAGGTACGCCGCGAGCGACGCGTCCGCCGCGATGTCGACAGGGGGACGAACGACGCGCACCGCGGCCCGGCTCTTTCGGGCGAAAGATTCAGTATTCGCGTATTGGTCGAGCCTGTTGAAACCGGTGGTACTAGACAAGCCCGCGAAATTCATTGCGTAGTCGACGCGAGGCGAATGAAGGATACTCGGAACTGAGTGATGCTCGAAAGGGTTGCCTTGACCTAAGCCAACGCGATGCTAAGGAAGGAGGCTGTTCCTGAGGGAGAGAACTGTTGCGGAGCGAAGAAAGTGTTGTGCGGAATGAACTTCTGATTCCATGCCTCAGTCTTTATACCTCGGGTGGATGGGCCGCACAGTTAGAGCAGAGGAGTGTTGTGCTTTCTGCTTGAGCACACTGCTTTCCAGGCGTAACACAGGTGACGGCTAAGTTGGATGGGGTTTGGCGCTGGCAATATCTTCCCACTGCGCGTCAATTCTCCCCAAACCACCCCGAGTTTGCCGCTGTTCCTGCGCACTCCGTTGAAACTCAGCGTTGGGTTTGGTGGAAGTGCTGGATCCACCCACATCGTGTGCGAGGTTGTGAGGTGTGTGATGCGATCTGATCCGCGTGACGTGATAGCCAACCACATCACACCCCGCGGACGATCATGTTCAGCACAGCGGCGTCACAGTGGGGGGGTGGAGGGGCGGGGCGGAGCGGAGCTGGGGAAGATCGGGGATGGTGCGGAAGCGGATTGGATGGCTGACGAGTGTGATGAGATGACCCTATGTCCAGTACAACACGGACCTCACACCCTGTGATGAGTCCCATCCCATCCCACCCCCTCCCACACCTTTGGCCTTTCAGCAACGCTATTCATCCTGGCCTTTCGAGAACCAAAGGGGCACCCACGCTTGTCACACCCAACCTCAGCACAGCTGCCTAGTCTAGCTAGACTCGTCACCTCACCTCCAAACCACCACTAAAGGGAAGTCACAGTGATGCAGCTGTCAGGGCCCAGCCCAGCGTAGAGTCTGGAGGTAATGAACGAGATTACCCATTCTGTATCTTAATTTTGTTTAGTCTTGTTGACACTCGCATAGGAGTCAGTTCTGTTTATGTTTACGATATACACACGATGCCCGTTTTACTAACCCAAGGTTTCCTTGTGAGGGCTTTTAAGTGATTCTGAGCACTTCGCAAATTTCGTCAACGTCGCACCTAGCAAAAAGGGGCTTATAAATTTATTGTAACTCCCCGTTGACATTTCGACTTCGGTCTCTTCCGTGTGACTTCGGTTTCTGTGGTTCGTATTGGTTCATAACCACTGCAACGTGCTCGAGGAGCTTGTAATGTGGGTGCAACTGGCTGGTAAAAAAAACACGGGTGCAGACTTTCTATTATTTGAGAGGAAAAATTCGCGCGCAGGGGTTGAGCATCTTGTGTACAGAACTGTGCTGGTGCGAAATCAATGATAAAGTGGTATAACTACGAAAGTGCTTTCTTTTGGGCGCAGTTAGAACTAGATCTTCACGAATCAAATTACACGTGAGGATCACCGCATCGACCATGATTCCAGGAGTTGGGGTGGAGTGGGGGTGATTGATCGTCAATCCGTGTGGTGATGAACACGTGAGAAATTCCGCACGTAACTTCGAGCAAACGTGATTCGCGTGCTGACGAGAGCACTGTGACACCACCACCAGATTCCAGTGGGCACACGACTGTGGCTCATAATGTCCGACGCTGCATTCACAAACATTTGCCGAATAGTGACGGTGAAAATTTCACGCAGGAGTGTTTCTGTAGCTCCAAACCGAAGAAACACATAGCAACCAACCCCAATGCGCACTATGTACTGTATCACAAACTTCTTTATTTAAGCGAATACTTGATCCGACGACAACCACTAAAACCCTGGACCCCGTCCCACTCACCATGTACTGTACCTTAAAAAAACTGGGAAGCGACCACACAACGCCGCTCTGAATGATTTTCATCATTGCACTGAGAGATACGATCCAGTTTCGTCACCGCAATGCAGTGGTCGATCAGCAGTCCAACCGCAATGGAGGCTGTCACGAACGCGTCAGCTTGCAGACGACTGACCGGATGACCAGCAGTGCAGGTGGGCGGTTTCTTTCTGGATGTGCAGTACAGTGTGAGCGGTAGATCCTCACCTCATCCCTGAAGGAGAAAAGCGGAAATTTCGCCCGTCAGTGGTGGAAGTACCACACCAAGCAACGTCAGCAGGATGGCCTGGAGCTGCGATGGGTTTTCCTCGACAAAGCCAGGCTCTTTACTGTTCGACAATGTGCACTGGTGCATTAGTTATGTTCACACATAACAGGCCCGTCACAAGGTACACCGTGAGTAAAATAAAAATTGAGCAAGATAACCACCGTTCCACACTTACATAACACACCAAAAGATGTCATAAATTAAATAAAAAAACCCGTGTTTAATATCATGATTGCATTAGAAATCTTAGCAAGCACAAGTGAACGTTTGTACTTTATTCCATCCATGTTCCAGATTTGTTTTGCCTATTTTTTTTGTTTTAATGGCACACGTATTTCTGGTTCTCACCTACTTTGCTGGGAAGAATGTATACACAGTTTGCTTTAACCAGGGTTTGGGGTACAGTCCATATTTGAGTTTACTGAATGTTGCTGTAGGTGAGCGAGCTAGGGCGTGCGAAAGATGTGTAACTCACGAAGTAACCCTTGTGTTTCGTGTTCCCACAAGCCCACCTCACCTTCATGTCGCGAAATCTCATTTCGTTTCCAAACAGCTTGCGCACAGTTGATGGGTGGGTGGGGGTGATGGCAGATCTTGTTGACCTCACCTCACATATGCCCCCTACCCACCTACACACGCGACCGCAATTCCAGGTAAATTTGCCATCATACAGAGAAGAACCAATCCAATCAGTTTGTCGGCATGCTCGCCAGCACACCAGTGTGTGCTCCGTGGCACGCGTCAGCATTTCTTGGAGCGTGGGGATTAAACTTCCATCCGCGCTGGCAGTGGTTACTCGGGAAATCAATGGTTAAGATGCGTTTCAGCCAGTAAAGCCGCGTCAGCTCGGGAACACACAAACAATCTGTAAATTTCGCGGAACTGAAAAGCAATGGCAGGACAAGCGTTGATTTTCGCCGCGATGGTCGGCGATGCAGACCTGTCCAGCATCGAACCCACAGGCGAAAACACCTCGCCTCGTCACACACCTGTAACAGCCTTCACGAGCATGATTTGAACAGTACTCCGAACCTGCTGCAGAATGGTCATTCGTCTCGTCCCTCTGGGCTCACGTCAGCTCAAGTTGGCACTTTCCGCCACACGCCACGGTATCTTCGCCCCCATGGCCCAAGTGAGAGTCTCACTCCCCCCTCACTCTCGCCGCTCAAACCCACCCATCCAACCAAACTGGTCTATTTCAGCGAGGCTTGCTCATTCTCAACATCTGTCAGCCTTTATTTCCCCCTTTTTCTCATCCACTTATGTTGTTGTAGCTTGGTTCGCAAGAAACGGTAGAGCACACTTGTCATGGCGCTGCACTTTATTAATCGTAACAGAGTAAGCAACCTCGTGGAGTTTTTTCTTCGCGAGCAGCAGGAGAGCCACGCGGCACGGGATCCTTCACTCAAGGCGTACCCCTGTAGCTTCCAAAGCGCATCTGCATCGAAAAGGAGACGCCTTGTCGACTCAGATGAGCGATTTGCGTCAGCATGCGGGAGAAGGCAGGTCGAAGAAGAGGAACATCTCCAGTCAGAATCCAACATCACGCACACATCGCAGCAGAGCTTTCCCAGCGACTCTGGCTACGGCGCGACCTCCGTCACTCACTCTGACGAAGCTGAGCTGGCTAGCTTGGAAGAAGAGCTTTTGTGTCGCGGCGCGTCCGACTTGTTGCTGCTACGCATGGCGAGTGCACCGCCGGAAATGGAAGCCCACGGAATCGACGAGAAGCAACTCGACCTGAACGCGGAGCCGACGAGTCCTTCCGACAGCCCGCCAGCCACGCTCGCTCAATCTTCGGAGGAAGGTTCAGCCCAACTTCCTCGATTGACGAACCGCACTACGGATTCCGATCAGTTCCTTCCAGGCAGTGGCGCCGCGGAGACGAGTCACAAGCGGAAGCGATCCGCGCAGCAGCAGATGAAGACGTGTCTAAAATGCGGGAAGAAATTTGCGACGGGTCAGGCGCTGGGAGGACACATGCGGAAGCACTGGAATGGATCCATCCGCGTGCAGACGAAGCAGCTGCTTGCGGAAGTGGGGCCTTCGAGGACCAGTAGTCCGGCGCACAGCGGGAGCCATAGCCACGAGTCGGATCTCGCCTCGCCTGAGCACGATGGCAAGCAGAGGCGGGCCAACGAAGCGGAGTCTACTGCGAGGCCTCTTGTCGTTGATATTGATCTAAACCTGAAAATATGAATACTGAAGAGGTTATAAGGTAGCTTTTATGGACTGGGAGTCCTTAGTAGTGTAGGTGTTCATAAGTGAATTAGCATCATTGTTAAATAAATGGTCTGTCAATCTATTTCTCTGGGACATAAACACCCCCAGATGGCGGTTGATGCCGTAATATAAATGTCATTCCCAATCAGTTCACTGCAGGTATTGTACAGGGCAGATGTTAGTAAACAGGGTTTTATCAAAGGGCTTTTCCATCAAACCAACCAGCTGACACATATCTAGCAGCAACATTGCTTCCTTATTTGGCAAGGTAGGAATCAGCTGTGATACCGTAAGACCAGCACAAGTGCTGGTCCAGCTGGCCATGGGCATCACACTTCCAAGTTCAAAGCCAACCCTGCATCCACCTTCCATCTGAGTTGATCCTACTGAGTGCTGCTCATTGAATGTCGCCTGTCTGTCAACTCCCCAAATGGCATACTGCTCTTTCTCCAACAAGGTCCTCAACATGCCTCCAGCCAGGGTATAAGCCATATGCCACTGCTTGCAGGGTACCACCAGGTCAACTGCAGGCTCATGCACAGAGCCCTGTTCTCAGCTGCATTGAACCAACTTGTCTAATGGTACAAGCCTGATGGCTGGTGTAGCTATCAATCTTTGGCATCACATGATCACAGCCTCAGGTCCAAATCTATTTCCGTGGCACCCACTTCCTTCTCCAACTCCATCGATTCTTCCGAGTACCGCCTAATGAGTTTCACCTGACACCGCGAAGGCGACTTACGGCTGAGTTTGCTCTCTTGGGCGCCCTTGTTCACACCGAGCGAGTCTTTCGCATGCCGAGAAGAATGCTCCGGCCTTTTTGGGCCCTTCCAGTGCTTCCGCATGTGACCGCCGAGTGCCTGCCCGGACATGAAAATTCTTCCACACTGGGGACATCTCTTGCTCCGGGATGATCTTTCCTGCTGCTCAAAGCCAAGACTATCCAGAAGATCACCACCATTAATAATGTCCCTCACTCCACCAATGTTGATCCTAGCTACCTCATTGGCTGCTCGAAGCGCCATGGCAAGCGATTCACTATAGCAACTCCTCTCTGTTGCTGCCGTAGTCCTTGGTTCGTTCAGGAATGCGGACAGCGACGAGGTTGCCACGTCAGCCGACGAGGAGAGACGCGCCAAAGGCGCGACGCCGGACGAAGGGGGTGAAAGTCGTCTGCCAGTGGTGACAGGGCCAGGAATCACGGAAGGCATTGATTCCCAAGAATCCCCGCGCTGCGCGTGTAAGAGCAGCTGTTTCCGAAGGGACGCATTAGCTCCAGCCTCCGGCGGGTCAGGAACCGGCGACCTGCGATTCGGGATCTCGTTCTGCCCGCAGTTCGCACGACCTGCGACGTTGGATGATGAAATCGGGGTCCTCTCGCGTCTCCCCGCTGCCGCATTCGCCGCGTGAAGCACGGCGCCCGCTATCAGCGCGGCAGCTGCTACCGCGGCGCTCTGCTGCTGTTGGTTCAGCGGCGATTCCGCCTGGGACGACTGGTTTGCTTCGCGCGCGGAGACCGGCGGCTGTAGCGGCGCCGCCATTGGCATCCACTGTCGAGGCGGAGCTCCCGCTACTCGCGGACCGATTTCCGGTGGCGACTCGTCACTCGTCGCAGCGCGGGGTAGCCCACCCGATTGGTCGTCAGGAAGCCGAGGCGCGGTAGCATCGAAGGCGCTGTTGGATACCGCCCCGGTTTCGGTCTCTCCTGAGGACGCTGATGCGGCGGCGACGGCGGCGGTGGCGGAGGAAGACTTCACGGCGGAGCTGGCGCGATCTTGAAAGCGCAGAAGCAGCGGGTGGCGAAGAGGCGTTGTCTGAATCACCGCGACACTCGGCGTGGCCGTGGTAGCGGCTGTAGCGGCTGGTGCTGCGTTCTTCAAGCCGAGGAGCAGCTCCAAGAGCGGAGAGTCTGCGGTGCGGTCAACGAGAGCCATGGCTCCGTGAGTCACGATCGAGAGCGTAGTTTTAGCAGTTTAGGCGAGGAGGAACGTGTGGGAGTCCGCGGTAGAGAGTGTATGGCGCGCGATATATAATTTTGAGTGCGGTCGCTGAGAGGGACGTGCTCAGGTGACGAACGAGCGATCAAGGTGGCTCAGAAATTTCAATGTTCTCGCCGGATGGCGTAGCGCGCAAGCCCTTTCATACAAAACACGGCGGGTATCTCTCGAGGTCAAGGAGCTCATTTGGAGCGTGGAAAGCGAGAACAAGATGAAGGACGCCATGCTGGCCAAGTTCTGTCTGGTATGGTGGCGTGGCGATGCGATGTGAGCCAGAGGCCAGACGTATAAGAGATGGAGGCAGTGTCAGAGATTACTGTATTTGTGTGTAGCCGCCACATGTGAGGGGAGTGGAGAGCGAGTGAGCAGCTAGCAACACTCTCATGGCTTGGCTTGGCAGGCGTTGGTAGAGAATCGTGGTTCAGTTGTCCGCCCCACTCACCCCTCTCCCCGCCGCCATCAATTCCACTGAACAGTTTGTCTGTTGGTGCGTGCGTGGGTTATTGATTTACGGCAGAATGGACGGTGTACCAGAATAAATACAGTTAATCTATAGCCATCAATCCAATGCAAAATACATCCGTTACAAGCCAAACCGAGTGCAAAATGCGCCAGAAATCTTGAAGTGCACTGTAGTGAAAACTGAAATTCGATGGGCGGATGCTGTACAGTCCTTCACTACAATACAAAATCCCACTCCGCCCCACACCTTCCACACATTCCATCTAGGCTCAGGCCATGGGCAGCCAGGCTGTCAAAGGATCTGCCCAACGTGTGTGACTTGGCGTCAAGGATTGGGTTGGGGTGGTCGAACGAACACTTTTCACAGTTGACAGCGTGAGTCTGTTCGGACTGAGTCACTGAGCTGGCGTGGCGCTTGTTTACAGCCCAACAGTACAGATTGGATTTTTAACCAGGCAACGGGCAACCCAACTCAAGTCTAGAAAACAAGGACAACATAGATAATAACGTCATTAAGCAATTCAGACAAAAATGCATCCTAATGTAGCTGCCGAAAAAAAAGTGTTACAGCTTTCTGCCGAAAATTGTTCCCAACGGCCGAAAGTACAGTTCACGAGTGCCCCATTTGAAAAGGACGCTACAGTAGGACCTCGCCCACGTGGCATGAACAGATGAGCATTGCCTTGAGATTTGCTGCAGAAAGGACGTCTAGTGTCCAGTCCAGGCGGACTCAGCCGTGGGACTTCTCAGTGCATTAGGATTGTACTCTTTGAAGGGTGTTTCAACGTCGGCATCAGAGATCAAACAAATGACGCTCTTGCAAAAAACTAGACTACCCTATCCAATTTCCAAAAGCACTAGGGGAAGAACTACAAAAAAAAAAAAACGGACAAACGATGGAAGTGGATTTTTTAAAACAAAAAACAGCCCCTGGAACATGTTCACCATCATGCACTTTCCATGCTCTTGTGGTGCTTGGAGCCCCTAAACCTACCATTGACACCATCTTCCTCATCCTGAGAGCCGTTCTCCTCCCGCAACCGACAGCGCGAAGGCACTTGAGCAGAATGAGTTGCTCTCGAAGAGCTGGCTGGAGGAGTACCATCGTCCCGTGCAATCTGCTTTTCGCAAGAAGCAGGGATTCCATGCCTTTCAGATGCTTCGTTGTTGTTTGCAGCGTTCGGTTGCGGCGAGTCCAAGTGTTGCTGGGGCTGTTTGGCGACAAATCGGGCGATGCAGTGCAACACAGATACCGTACATGCAGGAAATGCGTGAAACAAAAGCATGAAATGGTAGCATGGAATGATAGCAGGAAACAATGAAACAAAACAGTACTCAGCATGACATAACCATGTGTCACACCCACCAGCATTACTCTACAACACACACCCTGAGAGTCCACTATGAAACGGCCCCCTGGCTTCATGCTTCCTACCCCGCCTACCTCTCTGCCTGTCTTCCTTGACCTCCCGCTCAGATATGCTTCCGACAGCCCCTCTTGCGGCGCCATGTGGCACTGTGCCACGTCATCCGCCTTCATCACCCTCTCCCACTCCTTTGCTTCCTCCTGCCAGTAGATCAACACATGTGCCATCAATGCCATGCCATCCCATGCCAAGCCATGCCATTCCACATGAAGGCATGTGGACAGAAGGAACATACAACACAGATGAACCAGCATTATGAAGGAAATCAGCGTTGCAGGCATCACCAACACAGATAAACCAGCGATGGCGCAGCTGCCATGGAAGCCGCAATCATGCAACCCTAGGCACACCTGAACAATGCCCATACTCCACTTCTCACTTGTGCCATGCTCCAGAGATCACCTCTAAACCCCTCTCCACACCTGTACTCTGCACCGTTTATTTCCCTGCAGAGACTCACCGAACTCAGCTTTCCAGCAGCAACAGCAGCTGAAAGAGCCTTGCCTCTCTCCTTCACAGACGTGCCTCCCCCTTGACTGGACCTCACTGCTCCACCCGGCCTACACCCCTCCACCCCACCTACACTCCTGCTTGCTGCCCCGCCTCCTCCTCCCACCACCCGCCCTGCTCCCTCTCGAGCTGCCCCTCCCAGCACTCGTCTCAGAGCGCCAAGGCCCTGCCCCAGCACACTCCTTAGCACGCGCTGCTGCTGCTGTGACTGCTGCTGCGACTGCTGCTGCGACCGCTGCTGCTGCGGTTGTGACTGTTGCTGCTGCTGCTGCTGCTGCTGAGGCTGAGACTGCTGTTGCTCCTGCTGTGACTGCTGCTGCTGGGTGGGGTTTGGTGGCGGCTGCTGCTGCTGCTCTTGTTCCTGCCACTGCACGTCTCTGTCCTCTCCATTTCCCCCCACCACCCCTCTCTGGCCCCCAGCATTTACTGACCTTTCCCCGCCCCCCTCGCCTGCTATTCCCCCTAAGCCTGCCAGCAAGCCACTCAAGCCTCCTAGCCCTCCCAGCAGCGCCTCAAGCCCCCCTGCTTGCACCCCCAACCCCCCGGCCTGTGCGCCTATCCCCCCTGCCTGTGCGCTCATCCCCCCTGCCTGTGCACCCGCCCCCCCTGCCTGTGCACCCGCCCCCCCTGCCTGTGCACCCGCCCCCCCTGCCTGTGCACCCGCCCCCCCTGCCTGTGCACCCGCCCCCCCTGCCTGTGCACCCGCCCCCCCTGCCTGTGCACCCGCCCCCCCTGCCTGTGCACCCGCCCCCCCTGCCTGTGCACCCGCCCCCCCTGCCTGTGCACCCGCCCCCCCTGCCTGTGCACCCGCCCCCCCTGCCTGTGCACCCGCCCCCCCTGCCTGTGCACCCGCCCCCCCTGCCTGTGCACCCGCCCCCCCTGCTTGTGCACCCGCCCCCCCTGCTTGTGTGCCCATCCCCCTCCCTATGCTTCCCCCCTGCGCCTGCACCTCCCCCCCTGCGCCCGGCCCTGGCAGCAGCTGAGGGCGCATGACTATGGTGGGGAAGGGGCCAGAACCGCCCACCAGCGCTACAGTCGCAGGAAACTGTAGCAGCGGTTGTTGCCCGGCAAACCATGCCTGCTGCTGCTGCTGCTGCTGCTGCTGCTGCCGTTGTTGCTGCTGCTGTTGTTGCGATTGCTCTTGCTGCTCCTCCTGTTGTGGCGATTGCTCTTGCCTCTCCTGTGCCTGCGCTTCCTGCTGCCCTCTCTCCTCCCTCCCTGCACCCTGCCCCTCGGGCTGCTCTCGCCTCTCCTGCATCTCAGAATCGTCTTCTGCCCACCGCTGCTGCACCTCCTGCCCCTCCTGCCCCTGGTGCCCCTGCGCCCTCTGTCCCCGTCCCTGCATGTGGGAGTTGTATTCAGCCAGAACCTGCTGCATGTGGAACAGCCGCGCTGCTGCCCTCACCTGCTCCACCGGTGACCCCGCCTGCCCCTGGCCCTGCCCCTGCTGCTGCTGCCCTTGCTGCTGCTGCCCCTGCTGCTGCTCAATAGCAGCAGCAGCAGCAGCAGGGGGGTTGGCAGCATTGGTGGCGCTGTCAGTTGGAGGGCGGGCATGGGCAGCAGGGCGAGAGGGCGCGGAACGAGGCTGGTGCGGGGCGAAAGAAGGGACGCCAAAGAGACCCACGTGCACCCCCCCTGGAAGAGAGAAGCTGGCAACAGGAGCAGATGGCGCTGCTGCTGCTGCTGCTGCTGCTCCTGTGCCTGCGGGTGCTGGTGCACCTGTTGCTGCGGCTTCTGAGCTTGCTACTGCTGCGGAGCGTCCTGCTGCGGCTGCAGATTGCTGCTGGCCTCCAAACAGAGGGAATCTGATGCTTCCCCCCACACCTCCCCCACCTCCGCGCCCTCGTTCTGCTCCCCCACCTCTCGCCCCCTCTCTGCCAGCCACACTTGGTGCCTGTGCCTGCAGGTGCATCTGCTGCAGCAACGGCAGTTGCTGGGAGCAGGGAGTCACAGCGGGAAGAGAGGGTGACAGTCACAGAGAAAGGAAAGGAAGCAAGGTGAGAGCGGGTGGATGGTGATAGAGCCAAGTGAAATTGCAGGCGAGGGACGAGTTGGGGCGGAATGCGATGCACAGATTGTCAAGAAGCCGAAGCATCAAGAACCTTTTTCCACCCAGAACTAACAAAACCCTCCCCTCCCCCCATTAAACCCCGAATCTAGAACCTTGAACCTAGAACGAAAAGCCCCAAACCCAGAACCCAGGACCCGTATGAAGAGGACGCACATGGGTGAAGAGGACGCACATGGGTGAAGAGAGCTGTGGGCCCTCGGGCAGTGATGAAGACCGGCGGCACCGGGGACAGGCGCGGGCCGTGCTGCTGCTGCCCACTGCTCCCACCAGCAGCAGCAGCAGTAACGCCAGCACCGCCAGCAGGGCCAGGCCAGTGCAGGGCGCGGCAGAGGTGGGAGAGTTCGAGCAGCAAGGGAGCCATGAGGGTCACACACCGCACTGTTCCTTCCACTGCCTCTCTCATCGCCGCCTCTGCTGCTGCTGCCACTGCTGCTGCTGGTTCTCCTGCTTCTCCTCCTGCTCCTGCTCGTGCCCCTGCTGCTGCTCCTCCTGCCGCTGTGGCTGTTGTTCCTGAGTCAGTCACAGCAGCTGCGCCCACAGGCGGCAAGTGCTCCAGCTGCTCTGCAAGGTTCTGCCCAAGCAGCACAGGTCATGGGAGGGACGGGGGAGGGTGGGGGGAAAGAACCACGAGTACTGTATCGCTGGCGCCCTAGCACTCTGGCAGACAGTGGTTGAGTTGAAGCATGGAGCAGGCATGGCAGATTAGAGGCCTGACTGGCCAGATGAACTAGTACTGAATTCACGATCACGGTTGCATTAGGCAGAAGCAATAAAACCGGGAACCAAGAGGGGGCGAGGAAAGCGCAGGAACTGACGAGCAGGGAGGAGGAGAGGGGGCCGGTGAGGAGGCTGTTGGAGCGCCTGAGGGTAGCCGCCAGGCGCTGCAGCGATGGTAGCTCCCTTCTTGCTGTCGCTGCTGCTGCCGCTTCTGCTGGGTCCACTGGGAGCACGGAGGCAGGGGAGGAGAAAAAACATAGTTGCAAAAATTGCAGAACAGCGCGGCTTGATTCCTTGAAACACTTCTTACGCCCCTGACATGACAACCAAGCGCGCAACCTCAAGTGCAGAGCATTGCCAGTGCTTAGGCCTCCAGGCAACCCATTAAGTGTGCTAATGAGCAATGTCCGAAATCTACCTGGCAGGCAGGCAGCCATGTGCTGTTCTCACCTGACGGCCTCAGCTGACCCTCCACACGTGAAAGATAATCGTCCACAGTTGAAAGAGCGTCCCTTCGCGCCACATGCCTCGTCCCTTGCTGCTGCTGCTGCTGCTGCTGCTGCTGCTGCTGCCGTGCACCCCGCTCCTCCTGCTCCTCCCCATGGTGCCCTACCCCGCCCACCCCCCCTGGTCCCATGCCGCCAAGAGCCATCATGAGAGGCAGGCCGGCAACACCCATGCTGCCGCCCATGGGGATGGGAAAGCCGCCGAGGGGAATGCCCACCGGCACAGCCATGCCTGCTGGTGCTGCCATGCCCATTACTGATGGCATTCCCATGCCTGCTCGCATGCCTGCTCCCATGCCCGCTCCCATGCCTGCTCCCATGCCTGCTCCCATGCCTGCTCCCATGCCTGTTCGCATGCCTCCCATGCCCGCTCCTCCCATACCCATGCCTGGCCCTCCCATGCCCACGGGCATGTCAAAGCCACTCACAGGCAGCCACGTGTCCATGTGAATCTGCACCTCTGGCACCCCGCCCCCTCCACCCTCTGCCCCTTCTGCTCCCTCCCTCCGTTCCCCAGCGTCACTACCGCCTCGCTCCGTCCCTGCTCTCTGCTCCCCTGCTTGCTCTTGTTCCGCCCTTCCTCCCCCATCCCTGCCTGCACGTCCATCCGCAGCAGCAGCAGCCGCAGCAGCAGCAGCCGCAGCAGCAGCAGCAGCATCGGTGGTGTGAGCGTCGCGGGCAGCATTACCGTCTGCCGCAGGGGAGGAGCGTCTAAGGGCCTGAGCGGCTCGCATCTGGCGGGGCGCATGGCAAATGGCACATGGCAGCGCAACGCAAGGTGAATGAGCAACAGACAGGTGTGGAAGTGGGAGCGCCAAGGAGAGGCAGACTTGAGCTGAGCTCATCCGTCGGTTAAACACGGTTTCAATGAGATGCTACTTGGAGAATGCGTGTTGGCATGGAGACATGAAATGAAACACGGCATACCGAGATGGGGGCGATGTCAATCGTGACATTCGCAGTGGGACCTGCTGACTCGCTTCCACCCCCCCCCACTCGCCCACCCCCTGCTCCCCCTCCCCCCATACCTCCACCCATGCCGCCCCCCATGCCTCCGCCCATGCCTTCCCCCATGCCCCCCACCCCCAGCCCCAAAGCTCCAAGGCCAATGGATGAAAGCACACCAGACACGATCTGATGGGCACAGGAGGGAGAGCGGGGTGAGGGAAAAGGGAGGGGGGAGTGCTGGGGTGAGACGAGTGAGATAGACACCGGTTGAGAGAGGAAAGGGAGGGGCGGGATGGGAGGAAACCGAAGAGGGGGATGGGATGATAAAAGCGAGCGGGAAGGGGAGGGGAGCGGGAAAGGGAAAGGAGGAATTGACCGGAAAGGGGGAATGAGGGAGGGAGATCGGAAGGAGAGTAGGGGCAGGGATGATGAGGAAGCAGTCACGGGAGTGTAACGCGTCCTTGCTCTAAAGCTGACAGCCCTCTCAGTGCACCCCACCCACCCACCCGCCCGCCCGCCCGCCCGCCCACCCACCCACCCACCCACCCACCCATGCACCCATGCACCCATGCACCCACACAGACCTGGTTTAGGTCCGGAAGGCCCTGAGAGCCGTCCGATGGGAGGTTAAACGTGCCCAGATGAACGGTTCCAGAGGCAGGCAGGCCGCCAATCTGCACGTGACCCAACCCTCCCCCCAGCCCTCCCCCAAACCCTCCCCCTGGAACGATCCGTATCCCCCCCATACCCATACCGCCGCCGCTGCCCCTCTCTCCCCCTGCGCCGCCCCTCCCCTGTCCCCCGCGCAACAGCCTTGCCCTTCCGCGGATTCCCTCCCCCTCCGCGCCCGCGCGCGCGCCATGCGCGGAAGAAGGGGAGGAGTCCCCCGTGAGTCGCGAGACCAGGTGCACCACGTGGCCCGCACTGATGCCTGGGGAAGGAAAAGCGGGGGAACGGCGGAAGGGGAGGGGAGGAGAGTAGGTACAAGCGGAACAAGAGGAACGAGGCGCAGGAGGGGGGTGGTCATCTAGATGTGTGCCATGCGTAGCCTAGGCACAAGAGAACAGCCTTTCCAGCCAGCAGCGAGCACAAGAGCGAAGCAACAAAGAAAGATCTTGGGAAAGGCATGCTACAAGAATTCGGGGGTGAAGGGGGTTAGAACGAGAGAATCGGGAGTGAAGGGGGGTAAGGCGCGAAAAATCCGGGGTGAACGGGGGTACGACGAGGAAATCCGGGGTGACGGGGGAAGATGAGAGAAGGAGAGGTGAAGGGTGGTAAGACGAGAGGAGAGGTGAAGGGGGGTAATACGAACCGTAGGATGCGAGGGTCTGATCGTCCTTGAGAACCTTCCCTCGGAAGACCAATCGCTGGCTGCCAGCTGGAACCTGCACCTGCGTGGATATCTTTTCCTTCAACGCGCTCACGAGCAGCTGCGGGGGGAGTGGAGGGCGAGAGGCGAGGCGATGGAGGAGAGAGAGAGGTGGGGAGAGGCGAGGCGAGAGAGAGAGGCGAGACGAGAAAGAGAGGGGAGGTGTGTGAGAGAGAGAGGAGGGGTCAAGAGACGGGGAGAAACGACTGGAATAACAACGCAACGGTTAGGCATAAAAAATAGACATACACGGCGCTAATCGAGGACAGAGAAACGCGAGGTTGGGGAGGATGCACGACCAGCAGACACGAGAAGAAAAGTTGAAGATGTCAGCAACGGTACTAGCTGAAAGGAGTCGACCAAGTTACTGCAGTGCAGGAGTTGATGAAGTTTAACTCTTGTTGACCAAATCTGAACTCTACAGACACGTCTCGATAATAAAAGATGACAATTTAACGACGTCTGATAACCGGTCTACGTCGGACTAGAGGTTTGCCACCGTCCAACATCCTAGGCCGTGACTCGCGTCGATCTGACAAGTGCGAATCCGAAATTCAAAAGAACAATCTCTACAGCTGCTCTTGGGACCCACAGAGAGCGATCATCCTACACTAGCACGCACCGCGACTAACACCCTACACTAGCACGCGCCGTCACTAACTCCCTACGCTAGCACGCACCCCGAGATCCACGCGGACATCGTAAGTCCGGTTATCGAGAGTCTTGATCGTTATTCCGACTTCGCTCCGACTTGCGCTGTCCGGAGGAGGCAAATCCACATCCATGGCGAGCGGGAGTCCACGAAGAAACCCTAATCGCAAAAATTTACTAATAAGACGTCAATGTGGGATCTCTACACAGGAAGACGCTAACTAAGGTTTCAGACAGTCTGTTGCTGAATTCAGGCAGAACTTGAGGCTTTGATTTGAAGATGAGGAAAGCTGTACCGCACAGAACCGCATAATCGCGTTGCACCTTCTCGGGAAGCGGACCAGGAAATGCAGAACCAATCACTGCGTTGACGCGCGTGACCGTTGGCATGAAGAGCAACACGACCGACAACCGTTGGCATGAAGAGCAACACGACCGACACGTGTAAGAGGGACGGCACCCTCATAAAAGGTTCTATTACGCGTTTCAGTGTACACATGTTAATAAAGCTTCTGGTTGTAAACTTCTGACAAAGAAAGCATTTTCATTCCACAAGGCAGGTAAACCTGGCTAGAGAGGAAATTAAGCAGCCAGTTTACAGAATCTTGTTTCTTATGTCCTCTAGCTTCTTGAGAATCTCTCCTGGCGTGCGATCAAGCTCTTCCGCAATCTTCTTTTGCAGCTCCAGCGAAAGCGACGGAAATTGCTCGCACAAGTCCCCATCAATCACATCCTGGGAGGAAGGCAGAACACAAAACATAATAGCAGAACGGGCAAACATGAGCCACTTCTTTCACTTGGGCAAATCCAAATGATCAGGTCACATGGTAGAACAAAGGCGAATTGGCAATGCAGCAGAGAAGCAGGGCTGACCTTGACAGGGAAATAGGCGGATCTGTAAGCGACGTGCTCTCGGCCGGCGAGGGGAGGGTGCTCCTGGCGCAGGTGCATCTCGAGGTGTGAGAAGAAATCCACGTCCTCCCGCGACACAAAGGGCAGCAGCGCCCCCACCCCCCCCAGCATCGTGCTGTATATGACGCACTCGCTGCCGCCTGGGGAGGAAGAGAGGAAGGGGGGGAAGGCGAGAGGGAAGGCATGGGAAAAGCAGGATGGGACAAAAGGGGCGATACACAGGATGGTACCAGGGAATTAGATGATGGTGGTACAGGAAGCAGGAGCCAGGTAACAAAGGGAAGCAGGAGCCAGGTAACAAAGGGAAGCAGAAGGTGAGGCACAACTTGACACGAAGTTGAAGCCAGGCGGAGAAGCGCTCACCTGGAATGAGGGACGTCTTCTGCATGGCTGTGACGATGTCCCCCACATGGAACTGAATCACCTGGTGGGTCATGGCCAGAACATTGGGGTGTCGCGCGGGGGTTGGAAGGAGGGAAGGTGTGTGCGGAGGGTGAGGTAAGACACGCGTCACGGCAGCAGCAGCAGCAGCATTACACGACAGAGTGTATCAGGTAAGCAGAGCATCACGGAATGCAGCAAGGCAGGGAGGCACCGGCCGAGAGGACGCCCGACACACACCTGCTCAAGCTTGTTCGGCGCTCCGTTGAGGCGCCCCCCTCCCACGGCGTCCCACTTGACACGCCCGCCAGTCTGATCCTCCTCAATCTCCTCGGAGATCTCCCCCGGCAGGCGCACAAGGCACACGTTGCCAAACTTGTCCCCGCCTGCCATCGTGTCAAAGTCGATTCGCAGGGCGGAGGTCAGCCAGCGCGGGGTGACGTCGTCTGCGAACACGTACAGCTGATTCTCCTGCCGGCTGTGCTGCACGTAGTGGAATGACTGGGGGATTGAGGGAGGGTTGGGGCGGAAAAGGGGGCGAGAGAGTGAGGATGAGAAAGAAAAAAACATTTTACTCACCCATGTCATTTTTGCACATTTCCTGGTTAAAGGATACTAATTAATCACCTCGTGGCCCTCTGCCCTCCACCCACCTCACCCCTCCACCAACATCCCCCCTGCACCCACACACCTCCCCCATCCACTCCCCCACCTCCCTGCATATCAACGCACCTCCTGCACGTCGCCCACGTAGATGCGATCGCCGCACGCATGGATGCTCACGATCGCATGCGGGAACTGCTTGTTCTCGCACTTCCTCAGAAGCTTCTTCTTCCCAGGTCATATATCCTCAGCACATTCCCCACCCCCACCAACAGCCGCCCATGGAACGCACACAGGGCAGTCGGCACCCCCCCTTCCACCGCCGTCTTATGCACCAACTCTAGCTCCCTCCCGTCCTCTCCCTTGAACTTATACACATGCAGGAACCCTCCCAGAAGGTTCCTCTTGGGCCAGAACTGCAGGGATTTCGCTGTGCCGACTACCAGGTACTGTCCTGCGGCCGCCCCGCCCTCTGTTTATCCGCGTGGAAGTTGACCGTGCAGAGCGAGAAGGCGGCCTCGCTGTCTGTGAGTTCCATCAGGCACGTTGTCTCGCCTGCCTTGGGGTTTATCACCCGGATGCATGATGCCCATTTCGACGGGACTGTTTTCGGGTACCCGAATTGCTCGTCCGGTAGCGGGGTCTTTCGCTTTCTCGTCCTCCTCCTCTTCCCTCCTCTTCCTCATCCTCCTCCATCCCCTCCTCCCCGTCTTCCCCTCTGCCTCCCCTCGCTGCTCTTGCCGCCTCCTTCCTCTCCCGTCTCTCCTCCTCCATCCGCTCCGCAGCACCCGTCACTTCAATCGCTTCCTTCCTCAGTTCCTCCCTCTCTTCCGCCGAGAACGCGCCCTGGTCGCTCTCTATCGTCACAATGTTTCTTATAACGCGGATGCAGCACTGCCTTACGCGGGGTGTACCGCAACGGGAATCACCGTCTGGTTAAAAACCTCTCCAAGCCTTTCCACCGTGAACACACGCAGCGTTTCCCCTGCCACCGCCACAATACCCTCTGGGCACTGATCTGACGCAAACGGAGCCGCATACTCTAAAGCCTCATAGGACAGAGGCGTCAAATGGAAGCTTCCCAGAAGGGAGTACCCGAGCCACGGGCGGCTGGAAAGGCACAGCATGGCGCGCCGCTCTCTCAGCTGGGCACCGAAAAGTTTCGGCGCGCGCAGCCCGAGGAAGCGCGTGCGCGAATCGGAAAGCTGCCCGGAGTTCTTATCCACCTCGGTGCGGAGCAACACACCGTTCTGCAGGCCGGCATTGAGAAAGAGGCTGGACGGCACGTGGGCGGCAGCAGAGGAGGAGGAGGAGGCTGCGGTGGAGGAGGGGCCGTCTGTGCCGGGGCCGGTGGGGACGTCGAGGAAGAGCAGGGACTCTGGTGGGGCGGATACCGCCTGCACACTTAGCACCTGGTAGATGCATGGGGGGAGGGGAGATGGGCAGAGGGAGAGTGAGCGAAGAGCAATCTGAATGCTGACAGTTGAGTCACGCGCCTCAACAGCCAGCACATGAGGGCCCTGCCTGACCACAATAATGGCAGTAATGCCTGCAGCAATGCCTTACCCCCATAACCCCCCAACCCAACACCCTAAACCCTGCACCCAAAGCTCTCCTCCCCCCTTCTCACCTGCATGTTCTCATCGGGGTCCAGAGAGAGGATCCGAACGGTGGAGGTCGTACGATCCGACGGCTAGGAAGCGCGCTCGCTGGCGGCCCTCGGGGACGGGGGCGACGTCGAGGCAGGCGACGTCCCCCGGCATGTCCTTCTTGCCCATCTCCACCATCTGCCCCCTCACGTCCATCTCGAAATGCACCAACTCGCCTCCTGACAGGGCGATCACCACCTGCGGAGGGTGGGGTGAGAAGACGGAGAGTGCAGGAATGAGCAATGGTCAGAATAAACAGCGGTTGACACCTCTTGTCACCCCAAGCGGACGCGGCAAAAGGCAATTCACCAGGTGACGATTTGAACTGAGATGGACTGACCTGGAAGCGGTTGCAGCAGACTTTAACGATGCTCTTCTTGCCGGGCGTCTTCCACTCGTTGATACGCCCGTCCGCCCTGATGTGCCTAATGCCGCTTGGGTGCACCTGCACGTGGGATGGGATGGTGCAGGCAACATAGATGAACATGGGCGCATTCACACAGGCCTGTTGACGGTGCCTCAAGAGGCGTCTTCCACTCGTTGATACGCCCGTCCGCCCTGATGTGCCGAATGCCACTCCGATGCACCTGGGATTGGGATGGGATGGGATGGTGCAGGCAGGAGAGACGGACATGGGCTTACTTTTGAGGCGCATCAGAAGCAAAACAACCCACACTGCCCCCCAGCCACCGCACTGACCTGCATAAGCGAGTCCTCCCCCAGCAGGGAAACGGCGAGTGAGGGCGTGGTGTCCAGGAACCCGCTGTCACTAACTTCCTCGACCGTATCACCAATGCTGAGCACGAGGGTCGCATTGACGAACGACACCACGATGTACGCGTCAAACTCGTCCTGCGCGCTCTTGCGCACCGTCCACACCGCACTCGGCACGCCTGGTAACTGCGTTACCGCCATCTCGGTGACTGCGAGCCCCGGGCGGAGGATGCGCAGGGAGGAGCGCGGGCCACGGCCGCAGAGCGCGAAGACCTGCGGGGTTTCCTCGTCGAAAAGGTTTGAGACCTTGAGGTCGAGGAGAGGCATCAGTGACTCGACCTCGTCGATCTGGAATGAGTGAGGGGGAGAGGGAGAGCGGGGAGAAGGGAGAGAGTCAGGATGGGGAATGGGAGGAATACCGAGGAGAGCGGGAGGAGGGATAGCAGGAGGGGGAGCAGGAGGAGGGAGAATGCGGGGGCTTGCTGAGGGGTGAAGACCGTTTGCATGCCCACGTGAAACACAATGCACCTCTGGCTCTCCTCCTTCAACCCAATCGCCCACACCCTGCCCCTCAACTTGCTTTAAAAAAAGATGAAAAAAACACTTAAACAGAGCAAACGTGAACCAGGGAAGTCGCGCTGACCTGCACGAGGTTCTTGAGGCGGCGCGGGTGGAAGAAGACGGGCTGGAAGCCCTCATCAATTTCCATGAGCGTGGCGGAGCTCGACTCCACCTCCTCGTCATCCCCGATGCCCTGACACCGGGTGACTTCTGATTCGACTCAAAGCACACCCTCCCCCTCCTCTCTGGACGTCACTGTGCCTCGCAGTGACTTTTAAGTCGACTCAAAAACTGACCTGAACCAGATTCTTGAGGCGGCGCGGGTGGAAGAAGACGGGCTGGAATCCCTCATCCGTCTCCATGAGCGTGGCGGAGCTCGACTCCACCTCCTCGTCATCCCCGATGCCCTGGAAGCGGTACAGCGCGTGGTTGCCGAACTCCGACGCCGCGAAACAGGAACCCCGCGCGCAGCACGCACAGCCCCGCGCCCACCGGGATCGTGTCAAAGTACTTAATCTTCAGCTCCGTCACGCGGTCCGTGTCCTTGGGGTCGTGCTCTAGGGTAACCCTAAACACGTCGCCGTATTCGGACTGCAGGAGGAAGAAGTACATCGATTTCTGCTTGTGCGTCGCGGCCGCGACGATCAGCACGCCGCGCTCCGCGGGGAGGTCGGCGCGGCGCGGAATGACGGCGGCGCACGTCCGGGTGGCCCTGGTTCTTGTAGATCACGAATTCTCGGCGCACACCAGCACGCCAGGACGGCCCGTCCGCGCCGCCCGGGACCGCAACGAGGAGATTCGCGCCGTTGTCGACCGGCTCGGCCCATTTCCGCACGACGTGGTTCAGGCCCAGATCAAGCTCGTAGAAGGTCAGCTGCTTCTGCGCGTCGGCCTGCTGCTTGGCACTGACGGGTCCTGATCTGCATCGGCGTAATCGAGCTCTATGGCGGCGAAAATGGGGTTGTCGAATCCGCAGTCCACGCCCACGGACGGAGAAGACTAGGGTTTGCGATTGTGCGCTTCTAACGGGGATGAGATCGTGAGGCGCGCCGAGCTGTCGCGGTTCAAAACGTACACGAACTTCTGCTTCTCGCAGGCTGCGATCATGGACCGCTCGTCCTTTCGGATCCACGGCCAGGAATTGACCAGGGAACGATCCGGCGACATCCCGACTTGCCATAGGTCTACTGGTGTATCTTATCGAAGAGATTCTTCTCTCGGTTGTACTCAATATAACGATTCGGCCAGAATCTGATCCCACGACAATGAGGTCCTTAGAGGAGCCGGTGAGCCGGAATTGGACGAGCGAGCGAATCTCGCCAAATACTTCTACCGCGTACAGGCTCTGCAGTTTTCCCGCGGCATCTGGCCGTAATAGCTCGAGAATCTTCCCTCTCGCGACCACTATTTCCTGCTCCTTCGTCCCTGAGAAGTTGCCGAATATGATGTGACTTATGCCCGTCGCCCGCTGGAGCGTAAGATTATAGAGATACATGGCTTCTACGGACAAGGGGCATGAGACGAGGGACGGGAAATGTAGTCCCGAAGTGAAAATGTGTCAAGTGAAGTGACAAGCGGCACAAATCATCAGTGAATTAGACTTTCCCTCATCTCGTAGCCGGGTAGCGCAGTGGATTAGCGCGTTGGACTTCGGATCCAAAGGTCGCGGGTTCGATCCCCGTCGTGGTTGATTTTTTCTGCCCAGTCATTTCGCTCCGTGCTAGCTTTCCTCGGGATTGGATTGTTTTTTTCCCTGTTGCATCCAATCACACCACGCTTTCTTGAATTCCTCCCAACTTCCCAGCAATTCTTGAGAATCCCGTTTTTGCTGGTGTGCTGTTTCTTGGGATCATTTCATTTGGGAACATCTTCAGTTGCTCGTCGTTTGTCCGCCTCCACGTAGTTGCCAGCAGTGTCGGCCTGCCTGCGCGCGCTTGAGTCTCGTCAGGATGCCACCCACTCGAGGTACGTAGGTTTCTTGCAGTCATATTAGGTCGGTTGGTACTAATCCTAAGCTGGTGAATCCAGTTTTTCCGTGATAGTCGGTTGTGGTCTCATTGCTTGACGGTTCACGCGTCGGATAAGGCACACTGAAGCGTTGCACAGGAGCAATCAAGACCATCGTGGCCGTTGGTATCACGTTCGCGATCGCAACAGTGTAGCCACGAAGTCATCTCACCCTTGTAGCGATCTGCCTTACTTCTGCATCTTCGACACGTGGTGACCCATGTCCGGTCGAGTTCAATCCAGCCATTCATTCCCGTCCCGATTGATTCTCTTTCAGATGAGATCGATGGGGAGGACGAGACGCTAGGGCTGCGATCCGGTCAGGTGAGTCGCGCATTCGCTCAGGTGAGTCGCGCATTCGCTCAGGTGAGTCGCGCATCCGCTCAGGTGAGTCGCGCATCCGCTCCCGTCAGTCAGCGCACTAATACGTCGATGCTTCCATCTTTGCGTTGCTTATGTCTCGACCCTCCTAACATTCTTCATTCGCTCGTACGCAAGTATCAACGAACGTTTTCTTTCGTCACGCTCTCTTCCCCAGCCGACTGATCAGCGCGGGCCGCTCTGCTCGTACGTGGCGGCAACGGCGCTGCTGCTGCTGGGCTGCGGGGTGGGCCTCGGCATCAGCGCGCTGCTCTCGCTGCTCTTCCCCGCCACCTCGCTCCGCTTCATCTCCGCCAACGCTCCCCCTGACGCGCTCGCGGACGCTCAGTCGCAACTGTCGTTCCTGGTCGTGGGAGACTGGGGTCGCAACGGCGACTACAACCAGTCCATCGTCGCGGAATCGGTATGTTTCTACACCCAGCAAGTCCATAGTCACGTATGTGAGAACTGCAGGACATGGCTCATTGCGACTTGTGACTTCCGTTCTCTCCTCGTAACCCACATGGACGAGGTAAATTCTGAGACGCCTCGAAAGGGACACAGCTGATCGTGACTTGCATCTTGCTCTTCTCCTCTCCTCCCATGCATCAGATGGGTGAGGTGGCAGCGGTCATGGATAGCAGCTTCGTGGTGTCCACGTGGGGGACAGCTTCTACGATGATGGGTTGCAGGACGTCGCTCATTGTGACTTGTGTCTTGCGGTTCCCCCCCGTGCCTCTCAGATGGGCGAGGTGGCAGCGGCTATTGACAGCAGCTTTGTGGTGTCCACGGGGGACAACTTGTATGATGAAGGATGCAGGACATCAATGATTGTACCTTGCATCTTCCTGTTCTTTCCCTGCACATCAGATGGGCGAGGTGGCAGCGGCCATTGACAGCAGCTTCGTGGTGTCGACGGGGGACAACTTCTATGATGACGGGATGCAGGACATCAATGACCCCACCTTCGCCTCTTCCTTCTCCGAGATCTACCAGGCGCCCAGCCTGCAGACCCAGTGGTACGCAGGTACGCCCCCCCGTTTTAGC